GGTTTGTGTTAGGGATTGGGCATCAAAGTGCAGGTAAATGTTCGGGTCACGAGGGGTGGAGGCCTCTCTAGTAGCTCAGCTTCCAAAGGGCTGGCATGCTTGTAATGCGCTGGCTGAGCATCTTTGGGAATGAGTATGTTTCTGGCCTAAATCTCTTGGCTTTATTGCCTTGGATTAGCTAGGTTGGAAAATGACGTCGGCGTCAAGGTTCTTGTTAAAAGAATTTGGACTCTATGCGCACACTGTGATTGTCACTCCAGGTCAATGAGACAAGTGGGAATCTAAACTTGTGAGCAGGTAATGGGGAAGTTTGAGAAGCTTATCGCTCCACTGAGGCCTGAGCAAAGATGTTGGCTTGATCCAGTTGGCCTTTGAAGAAATATGTGGGCCCCTCTGAGTGTGTACATGTTTCTGTGTGCAATCGTTGCTTCATAATTGGCAGACACTGACAGTGTGTAACCAGAAGGGAACGATAGTTGAATAAAGTTTATATTCAATGCAAAAAATTTTTTTGCACCCCAAAATCTCCACTTTAAGACTTAAACACACCTTCACGGACAGACGTTCTCCCCTGATAATATGGCTAGCTCTCTGTATGAGATATCAGTCAGGAATTTGTGTTCTGTGGAGACTTTTCTCAATATACATCCTGAAAACGGCTAAAACGGTCGGCTGCTCAGCAACCCGCATACACTCGCCTGCCAACACAAATATACTTTCTGAAGGATGATGCTTGGAAAGTCGAGAACAAAATGTTCTAAAAGGATTGGAACCTAATGTCACCTAACAGCTAAACTATATGTGTTTGTGTTTCAAGGTCACAGTGGGCTCTGTGTGTTTTTGTAGTAAGCTACTTTCTGTAGTATACTGATCATCTGTAGATCTGCGATCATGTAATCGTTAGCTGATTATGTATACTATTGTCATCATGCAAGTGATGGTTTGGTCATCATTTAAAGGGATAGTTCACCCAAAAATGAGTTTCTTTCTTCTCTTGAACACAAAATAAGATATTTTGAAAAATGTGTGTAACCAAACAGCTGACGGTAGCCATTGACTTCCATGGTATGGGGAAAAAAAATACTATGGAAGTCAGTGAAAGAATATAGTTACAAAAGTTACTGTATAGTTACAAAACTGCCAGTGTTTTTATCATTTTGTCGTTAGCTGGTCATCAGTAGACTTGTCATTATTCCATCATTCACTAATTAGCCATTCTTCAGTAGATTTATCATAATTTAATAGTTGATTTAGATTTGGTAGTTCTATCAGTAGATTTGTGTTCTTTTTAGTAATTATCTAATCAGAAATGTTGTCATCATTCAGTAATTAGCTAATCAGTAGTTTTATTACCTATTAAATTATGACAGAACTGTTGTCATAATGTTGAATGGTGACAATAGGTAGCTAATCATCAGTAGTTTTGTAATCTTTTAGTCGTTAGGTGATCATTAGTAGTTTCAGTCATCATTCAAAAAAGTAAAAGCTAGGACAGGAAGGGATAAATATTATATTAACTAACGTACTTTACGATTAGCTCAGTGAATAATTGAAAAAAACAGACCCGGCTAGAACAAGTGGAGTGATACAAAATTGTGAAAGGGCGTTCCTGTAGCGATACCAGTACAATATCTCACGGTTCTCAACCAATCAGATTTGAGAACCAGAACGAACTGTTGTATAATTGATGATATGTGCTTTCACTATCATTCAGTAGGGTATCTGATCATCAAAACTTTCACATTTTTCAGTGGTTAACTGATCATATGTAGTTAGCTAATCAGTTTTGTCATTGGTTGGTAGTTACTGATCTTTTTTGCAGCAGATTAATCAAAGTTATTGACAGTTGTCTGGTTCAGTTGTCTTGTATATTTCATTATTATTGTGTAAAATGAAGTGTTAATGTGGTTTATATGACTATAAACACTGGTAAATCACTCTTTCTGTAAATATACATTCTTTTTTTTTTTGTCTCTGGCTAGACCTTTATGCTTCCCACTTCAAAGACTCACACAAATATTTTGAGCCAATGAATTGGCCTGTCATGCACAGATATGGAGTGTATTCATATTACTTTTACTCTTATGTACTCAATGCAGGAAACAATAGAAGCAAACTCGGGTATAAAAGCACACTTATGCAAACACGCATACAGACAGACCCTACAGATTACCCACTGACAGATGTTAAAAATTAGGCACATGAGGGTATCTTTTACCGGGGGATATTTGCATAAGGTCTGTGGTGTGTTGTTGTTTTCTTGATTCAGTCCTCCCCTCTACTTCAGTTTGTTCTTTTTCTTTCTTTTTTTGTCATGTTTTACTTGACTTGGATGAAATAAGAGGAGTGTGGAGCTGAAATATTCTCTAATTGAGTATGTGGGGAAAAGATCTGCATGACTAGAGGCTCAAAATCAGGCTTAAAAAATTGATTTCCTCTGTTTAATGCAGGTGTTTGTGTGTAATACAGCAGCTGGTGTGAATGTGTGCTCATGCATGAGATGGAGTTTTTGCGCTTTGTATTTGTGTTAGAGTATAAATGTCTGCAGTACCATGCTGCCTTTTCTCTTCATTAGTCATTTAATCATTTCCACTGGTTTGAGGGGTTCCAGCTTTATCCAGAGATGCTGTATTCCAGTCTCACAACAACAAACAGGGGAACACGCAGTAGGGGAGATGGTGAAACAATGACCTCACTGTGTGTGCGTCCCAGCATCGGACATGTGGGAAGGAATGGAGAGGGAGGGATCGCGGAAAAGAAGAGTCTGGAAAATCAACAGGAGAAATGGAAATGGGGGGCTGAGGTTGGCAGGGGTTGGAGGAGATGAAGCAGGGTAGAGATGAAGAGGGATGTTTCAACAATCCATGTCTGCAGTTGCATAACGTCTGGAGCTTAAAATACAATGTTTCTTCTTGTCTCATGGCTTCTCTTCTCATCTCCTCTCGTTCTCTTTTCTTCACTTCTTGTTTCGTTCTGGTCATGTCTTATTTAGTATTTTGTCTCCTCTCAGTCTTGTCTCGTGCTCTCCTCTTGTCTGTTGTCTTCAAGTTTTGTCTCATCTTTTCTCATCTCAGTTCTTCTCACCCTCTTGTCTTTTCTTCTTATCTCCTCTTAGTCCATTCTCCTCGTGTCTCTTTCATTCTTGTCTTGTTCTCTTTTTGTCTACTCTCTTCTCGTCTTGTCTCAACCTTCATTACCTCTTCTCTTCATTATCGTACTTGTCTCTTCTCATGTCAGTTCTTCTCAAGCTTCTTTTGTTCTCTTCTTGTCTCTTTTATTGTTGTCTTGCTGCTTTTCTTCCAGTTTCCCATCTTATGTCCTCTCGTTCTCTTCTCTTCTCTTTGCTTCTGCACATGTTCTGCTTGTCTCATGTTGTCTCTTGTCATCTCAGATTCTCTCCTTCTCTTCTAATCTTTTTGTTTTGTTGTTTAATCTGTTGCTTCTTGACTCACCTTGTCTTTTCTCATCTCGCAGTTCATGGCCTTGTCTCGCCTTTTCTCTTCTATTCTCATCTCCACTCATTTGCTTTGCATTCCGTCTCTTGTTCTCTTCTTGTCTCACCTAGTCTTATCAACTTGTCCCTTCTCATTTTGTCTTTTCTCTTACAGCATCATCTCCTCTAATTGCATTTCTTCCTTGTCTTGTCTTTTCGCTTCTCTCACTGTCTTTGTGTCCCTTTTCCATGCTTGTGATCTTGTCTCATTCTCTTCTCTTCAGTTCTCATCACTCATTCTCTTCTTGTCTAGTCTCTTCTCATCTCAATTCCTCTCACTCTCTTTTCTTTTCTTTTCTTTTCTTTTCTTTTGTCTCTTCTATTCTGGGTTGTCACTTTTGTTCCAGTTTCCAGTCTCATCCCCTCTTGTTCTCTTCTCTTTGCTTCTTGTCTCATCTCTGCACATTCTCCTCATGCTGTCTCTTTTCATGTCAGTTCCTCTCATTCTCCACTCATCTCTACTTGTCTCCTCTGTCTTTTTTGTTTTATCCCACCTCTTCTCTTCTCATCTCACCCTTTATGGTCTTCTCTTCTCTTCCACTCTCATCAAATTCTCAGTTTTTCCTTCTATCCACTAATTTTCTTCTTGTCTCACTTAGTCTCTTCATCTTGTCCCTCCTTATTTTGTCTCTTGTCTTGCAGTCTTGTCTCTTGTAATTGCATTTGCTCCTTGTCACTTATTCTTTAATTGTCTTCTTTTTCCTTTTTCCATGCTTGTCACCTGCTCTCATTCTCTTTTCCTCAGTTCTTACTAATTTTCTTCTTGTCTCACTTAGTCTCTTCATCTTGTCCCTCCTTATTTTGTCTCTTGTCTTGCAGTCTTGTCTCTTGTAATTGCCTTGTCACTTATTCTTTAATTGTCTTCTTTTTCCTTTTTCCATGCTTGTCACCTGCTCTCATTCTCTTTTCCTCAGTTCTCATCTCTTGTTGTCTTCTTGTCTTGTCTCATCTTGTTTCCTCTCTCTCTTATCTTTTTTTTGCACCCTCAATTCTCATCTAGTCTTTTTTTTCCCAGTCTCGTCTCCTTTCATTATCTTATCATTGCTTCTGGCCTTTTGTGCACATTCTTATTTTGTCTCATGTTGTCTGTTTTCATGTCAGTTTCTCACATTTTCGTCTCGATCTCACCTTGTCTCTTTTCGTCTCACTTCGTCTCGCCCTTCTTGGGCTTGTTTCTTATTTTCCAGTCTCATCTCTTTTCATCTTCTCTCTTCTCTTCCAGTCTCATCTCTCTCTACTTCTCGTCTTGTGTCTTGTACCTTGTCTTTTCTCTTTCTGTTTACTACACAAAGTCAAAACTAGTTATGATCAGGCGTGTGTCTGTTAAATGCGTATGACCCTACTGGTGCAGTGTCTCTGCACTTGTGACTAATGGGTTTTTCCCATTTTTCTTCAGCCCAAACATGTTTAAGTTTAACTGTAGTGTAGTCTGCTGAATAACAATATATTGACTATGGCAGTATCGATCAGTTATCAATGTCTGTCTTATGGTTTTGTCTAATGTTAGGTGAGTTTCTGGGTGGTGAGGGAGATTCTTCATGCTCAGACTCTGAAGATCAGAGCAGAAGTGTTGAGTCTCTATATCAGAACAGCAAAGGTAAAAACACTCCATACAGCACATTTGTACTACCTAAGTGATTATACTAGTTGCTAACCTTCTTTCTGTCTTCCTGCAGAAACTGTGTGACATGAACAATCTCCATGCAGTGATGGCAGTAGTATCTGCTTTACAGAGCGCCCCCATCTTCAGGCTCGCCAAGACCTGGGCTGTGAGTTATTTAATACACTCCTTATTAACATTTTGCATATTAGTTTTTCAATTACTTGCTAAAACATACTTGGTAATTATTAGTGATTTTTTTGGTTGCACATTTTAAGCACATTTTTCATTGTTTTTCTTATAAAATGGCTTTGTCTTACACCAGCAGAGTCTAGCGTCAAGACATTTTATTTCATTTTTAATATTTTCTTTTCTTTTTTTCTTTTTTCTTTTAATTTTTTCAAAGTATCTTGTGGGTTTTTGGGTCAGTTGAGTGCTTGGTTCATTCATTATCATGTTGTCCAACCCAGCTGTTGCATATGTCCAAATTTCTTTAGACTTGGTTTTCATGCATGTTTATAGGTTGTGAAATTATCCAGGCCTCCGACACACTCTCAGTTAGTTACTGATGCGGGCTGGAAGCTGCAAACAAATGAATCACTATGAAACCTTGAGCTGTTTCTTTCCAATATTTTGATTGATGAACAACAAGGAACTCTGTTTAGTTTTTTTCCCCTTTCAGTCTTTACTGGAATTAAATCATGCATTTCAGTTCCCAAACATGATACCCTCCATTTGAACACACTCAATAGTGGTAGAGATTTTTGTACCCCTATAATTTATTAAACTAGCATAAAATGATGGTGCTTGATTGAATATTTACTTTCTTTCTAATGAAGGAAAACGTGTTGTTAACGACATCCTTATAAACGAACCACCTCAGTTTCTTGAAAGATCAATAGACTGCACTAAACCTAAATACCAGGGTTTCCCAAACGCTTGTGTTTTTCTACTCTAAAATAGGGCAGCTATCATAAAACAGACACCTGTTCCCCAGGTTTTTATAACTTCAAAACGTGTTTGCTCACAAATCAGTCTGTAGGCAAGTGTGCTGCACTTGGATTGGTGACATTCATTAGCATTAGCAACTTCAGGTTTCCTTTGTAAAATCCTGTAAGACTTTTAAATGTAAACACTTGAAAATGTTACATTTTGATGTGTAGAAATCTGCAGGCTAGCATATTTTCATAACTGGGAGAGAATTGTACATTTTATCCTTATAAACGAACCACCTCAGTTTCTTGAAAGATCAATAGACTGCACTAAACCTAAAGCTAATACCAGGGTTTCCCAAACGCTTGTGTTTTTCTACTCTAAAATAGGGCAGCTATCATAAAACAGACACCTGTTCCCCAGGTTTTTATAACTTCAAAACGTGTTTGCTCACAAATCAGTCTGTAGGCAAGTGTGCTGCACTTGGATTGGTGACATTCATTAGCATTAGCAACTTCAGGTTTCCTTTGTAAAATCCTGTAAGACTTTTAAATGTAAACACTTGAAAATGTTACATTTTGATGTGTAGAAATCTGCAGGCTAGCATATTTTCATAACTGGGAGAGAATTGTACATTTGGTGAATATTGTGTTGTCTATTACGAAAGTCTCAAAGATACTGCCTTTTATTCTTGCTACTGTAAAATCAACTTAAATGAGAAGTGTCACTTTTTCAGTGTTTAAAAAGTACTCTTTCTATTTAAGTTTTAGTTTTGCTCTCTTGGGCCAGTACAAAACCACCTGGAACACTCAAGCGACTTCATTGAATGCACTAAAACAGCTCAGAACACCTTAAACCTGGCAACCACCCAGAACACCCTAGCAACACATATGCAATTCTGAACGTTTTAGGAGCCACAAGACAATGCTTTGGCAGCCACCAACAACATCCTCGCACTTTGGTGATGACTTTTGCATGTGCAAACAGTATTTATTTGTATTTTGAGAGGAACTATGGTTGCCATGGTACACTTTTCTAAGGATCATGCTATCCAGCAGCTTGGTACAGTGGACTGCAATATAACAAAGAGTGAAAAATTTAAGGGGGTCTGAATACTTTCCGTACCCACTGTATATCTGTGTTTTCTTTGGAAACATTGCCTTGTCTTGTCTTCAGTCACAGCCAACATCCTCCTCCTCAATTGTGTCTCTAGTGTAAAATTTTCAGTCTTTTATATAACTGGAATATTCCTCTCCCCCGCTTTTTTCTGTCAGATCTGTGTTTTCCATGGCTTCTCAGACTAGCTTTCCTCAGACACGGCCAAACACAATCCTATATAGTGGGCTCTGAACGTTTTTTTTTATTTGCCGTTTTTGTAATTTAATAAAACATTTTACACGATAAATCGTATTATTCAGCATGATTTTCTTCAGTGGAAGGAAATTTGACCTTTTGTTCAAAAATGAATTTACATGATCAGTAGCCCAAAGATAATCCAAATATTTTGGGGGTGAAAAAAGGTTTAATAGGTAATACTTTATTTTGATAGTCCAACTCTAGGCCTAACCTAATAGTCTACTAATACTCTAATGAGAATTAGTTAACATGTAGTTGCAAAGTTACTTATAGTTAGTAGAATGTCATAGTTAGTAGAAACCAAAGTGTAACCAAAATGTTGACTAATATAGCTGATTTTATGTTGCTAGTTCTCATAATCTTTTTTCATTTAAAGGGATAGTTTACCCAAAAATGAAAATTCTGTATGACTTTCTTATTTCTGTTGAACATAAAATAAGATATTTTGATGAATGTGGATAACTCAACAATTGACAGTAGCCATTGACGTCCATAGTATTTTCTTCCGTACTGTGGAAGTCAATGGCTACCATTAACTGGTTGGTTACCCTAATTCTTCAAAATATCTTCTTTTGTGTTTAACATAAGAATGAAACTCATACAGGTTTGGAACAAGTGAAAGATGAGTAAAAAATAACAGAATTCTTGGTTGAACTGTCCCTTTAACTTCACTTCACAAATTCTATGTCAGTGCTTCAAATGCTGCAAAAAAACTAGTTTGGAAACACTTGTATTTTTTTTACACAAACTTTTTATAAACTTTTTATTTGTTGATAACAGAACAGCACAAAAGTGGCTGGAAACTTGATTACTGTTCCAAATTACCAACCTGGAAATAGTGCAGAATCTGAAATGTTTAATTCTGTGTCATAATGGTTCTTTGTTATAAATGTACAGGTTTAAATTAGATTTTGCAACCCAAATTTTCAGTGTGGTGACTTTTAGACCCTACTGTTACATCCTTGTGGGTTCTGCCAATTTACACTTAATGTATAAAATAAACCAATTCTAGTTGATGATTACTGAATGACATTTAGTCCATTTACAAACTTCCTGCTAAGAAGTTTTTGCTATTCTTCTGGGGACATTTGCAAAAATTTCATCTCCACACAGACCTGCAGACAGATTTTTTTAGGAGAACGTGTGTGTGCGTGCGTGAGAGGCGACATCAAGTGGCTCTTAATTTGGTTAGGTTTGTTTGAATTTACTGTGTGGTACTTTGGATTTAATTTCAGCGCTATCAGCTTTTCCTTTGTTTGCAGAGCTCTTATTTAATCTTACCTCTGTTTGCTGCCTTTGTTTCACCCACTTTTGTTTTTGCTGAGAACATTACTAAACACTAAACATTAGTTTTCAATTTTTTTTCTTCTCGTTTTGGTCAGGTGGAGATATTTTACGCCATCCCAAATGCAATTATGTTTACGATTGCTCTGCCAAATGGTTGATAAATGGAAAACAAACAAAAATCACATTAACTGTGAATGATTACTGGAGTATGAAAGAGATGCTGAGCACAGACACTAAAAATCAGCGCTCTTGAGATCTGTTGTTAGAGCCTGGATTGTTTACAGCTGAGTCCATTTAGATGATTTAGGGCCTGATTTATTAAATGTTTGTCTGTCTAGAAACACATGCCGACTTGATAAAACATACAAAAAAATGTTGATCTATGTCTGAATGTTGTCTACTGAGGGTTGCTGCACTTGTCACAGATGCTGATGATAAAGCCAAATTTGTATTGAACCCAGATTATTCCTTTAAAATACACACTGTTCAAACCTAAAAAGGCAGATATAATCAGAAATCATTGTTTTTGTTACAAATGTGTAACTTTTTCTCCTTTCCCACAGCTTTTGAGTCGAAAGGACAAGGCCACGTTTGAGAGGCTGGAGTATCTGATGTCTAAAGAAGACAACTATAAACGCTTGAGAGATTTCATCAGCAGCCAGAGCATGACATCCTGCATCCCGTATCTGGGTATTTTTTCTTTGCACACACAAAACATAACCTTTTAGGGAGGCCTTTTTCCAATCTGCTATACATCCTCACACCACCACATGTCTTGCAGACATTTTAATCAATTTGGATTTTTAATTAATTTTTTTCTGGTTTAGATGTCCTCAAAGTTCTAGGGATGCCTTGTGGATGATTTGTACTAAACAGCAGACTTTCGAGCTTGTTTCATTGTTTGTGTTTATTATTTCTGTGTAAATTAGAGCTGTAAAAAATTAGCACGTTGACACATGCAATTAATTACGAGTTTACATTTTCTCAACACCGTTATTTGTTGACATTGTGTAATGTGATTGACTAGCAGAGAAATCACTGGCTGCTCTCCTAAGGCTGTTACAAGGGCAGTTGCGATTTGTCATGAAACCTGTTTCAATCATATCTGACAGCTGTTAGCACCATTTTATATTGCGCATTTCAAGAGAAAAGCGTAAGTGAGACAAGTAAACAGCGCAGTTGCATTAACTTTCTTTATACGCACATAAATCCCACTATGCATTTGATCCCAATATTTATGTATTTGCAAATAATAATAGTGAATAAATAATGGTTTATATACAATATATTGTAAACAATTAAAATGCTGCCAGAACAATATAATATAATATAATACAAGTTACCATGTTTTTGAAAGAATTCTCTTATGTTCATCAAAGCTGCATTTATTTGATCAAAAATACAGTAAAAACAGTGGTAAAACAACAAAACAAAGCAAATTTGACATTTCTCAAAAATACTTTCTTATGAAGTCTGGAAAAGAAAGAATGTAATACAGGTTTGAAACAATGAGGGCGAGTAAATGATTACAGAATATTCATGTTTGGTTGAATTATCCATTTAACCGAATGCAATCTTGTTTATAGCTGAACTCTATACAAACAGAACCAAATGTATTACTCCAAACAGGACCAACCGTTTGGTGCTTTATGTATGTCATGTTTACACGCGTTTGCCCTGGTGTGTTTGGTATGGGGCTGGAAGACTCCCTGACTCTTTGGAAAGCAGAGAGGAAAGTACTGCTCTCTTGTACAACATGAGGTCTGAACTGCATTAAAGAACTGCCAGTCACTCACCTTGTAAAAAAAAAAAAAAAAAAAAAAAAAGGGGAAAAAAATATAACTGCATTAAAAAAAAAGGGGTAAAATATATATGGAGGAAGTTGAGCCAGAGAACTGGAGGATCTCTTGTGTTCTCAGATTTGACCGTAATGCTGAAACAGTTTATTTTGTCCTGCTGGATGTTCTTTTCAAACCCTCCCTTTGTCTGTCCATCTGTCTTGCTTTTTATGGATTAAGTGTATTTTCCATAGATGATTGCAGAGCCTGACAGCAGTATAATTTAGGGGAGAGCGGTATGACCAAAATATTGTATTATAGTTATTTTATGGTACGGTAGCCGTATATATATTGCAGTGTAGCTATTATTAACAACCCAGCAGTGTTGTATGTGTTCTATTTCATAATCATTAAATAGTAATCCCCCCTTTTCAATAATCTAGTTTCTTCTTAAAGGGGTCATATGACGTTGCTAAAAAGAACATTATGTTGTGTATTTAATGTAATGCAATGTGTTTATGCGGTTTAAGGTTCAAAAAACACATTATTTTCCACAAAATTCTACATTATTGTTGCTCCTCTATGCCCCGCCTTTCTGAAATGTGTCGATTTTTACAAAGCTCATCGTTCTGAAAAATGAGGTGTACGCTGATTGGCCAGCTATCCAGTGTGTTGTGATTGGCTGAATACCTCAAGCGTGTGACGGAAATGTTACGCCCCTCACCATAATGTGATGCCATGTCCTGGAGCGATGAGACAAACCCGTTACAAACGAGGCATTTGTTGCATCCAGTGGGGACATAATTACTGATTATAATGACTTATACTGTCTTTTTACGCGTTGCGTTGTGTATCGCGCCGCATAAACATAAAGCCATGTCTGCATTTGAGATCGGAGAAACGACAAACAACAAGCGCTACTCTACACTGCTTAAAACTCGTGTTTGAATCGTCAGTGGCAAATATAAAAAATGTACTTACAGGCTGTGAGTCAGAAGCGCTAGACCAGGGGTGGCGAACTCCGGTCCTGGAGAGCCGCAGCCCTGCAGAGGTTTGGTTCAACCTTCACAACGAAACACACACAGCATCTCCACGACATGGCGGCGGCAACAACAATACTACAGCGAGAATAAAAGTTACGCCTTCTTTTTTGCGTGAACATTTGGGCGGCGTTATGCAAATCTTCCCACACAGTGATGTAGACGTGGGGGGGTGTTTAAACGAGGCGTTTTAGGAGGGCGTGGACAAGTCTTAACTTTTATAAAGAATATCTCTTTGGGTTTGAGACTTTAGTCTTTGCAACTTTAGGGATCTTATCTATGCACGAACAGCTTGTAACACCAAAGAGAAAGGAAAATTTGAAATTGCATCATATGACCCCTTTAAATCCTACATAAGGTTTTGAGGATGTTGGAGCCTATCCTTATTTTGTTTTGCTTAGTTTTGCTTTTTTTTTTGCATTGTTTTGATTTGCTTTGCTTTGTTTAGTTTTGCTTCGCTTTGTTTTGTTTTGCTTCGCTTCACTTTGTTTAGCTTTGCTTTTTTTTGTTTTGCTTTGCTTTGCTTTGCGTTGCTTTGCTTCACTTTCTTTTGCTTTGCTTTATTTAGTTTTGATTTGCTTCACTTTGCTTTTAGTTTTGCTTGGCTTTGTTATGCTTTGTTTTGGTTTACTTTGTCTTGTTGTGTTTTATCTTGACTTGGTTATGTTTGGTTTTTTATTTATTTTGTTTTTATTGTTTTATATTGTGTTGGGTTTTGTTTTATTATGTCTTAGTTTCCTTTTGTTTTGGTTTTAAATTTTTTTTCTCTTTGTTTTCTTTGGTTTTGTTTTCTTTTGTTTGTGATGTTGTACAGAAAAGTATGTCAGGCTGTAGTAGTCTGCTGGATCTTTCACAACCTAGCACTCAGGCTGGCTTGCAAGATGTGCCATTGTCCCATGCAAATTATGTGCCTGATCTTCATAATTCTTTTAGTGAGTCTGGTGCTAAAACTACACAGACTATGCATATAAATGACCCTAACTCGTTGTTGGTGAATTCTCTCTTTGGTCTTTTCACTTCTGCTTTTGCAATCAGAGACTGTGATTTGTGGTGTGTTATGAAAGCGTTCAGGTGGGGGGTGGGCTCTGAGCACATCCAGACGGCTTCATCACAGTCTGAATGTGAGAAAAACTGTCTGGAAGTCTATTGAGAGGAAGATGAGATAAAGGATTGGGTCAGCGTACAAATGGTTTGTCTGTTTTGTAATAACAGGATTTCCCTACTGAAAACACTAACACTAAAGCTTCCAGCTGGATGCACATAGGTGTGTGTGTGTGTATACGTGTGTACTAGGGCTGGGCGATATGACGATATTATCGTATATCGATGATGTCTCATAAGTATCGCGATGTCGATGTCAGCAGTCAGGTAACAGACGATTATTATCGGGAAAAAAAAGACACATGATGAACCTAATAAGTTGCAATAAATATTTTACATAGCACCATAGTCACCATACAGGTCTTTTTGCATGCAAGAATTAAATAATTTAGTAGGAGGATTGGAAATCGAAAAGCTATTCTAATTTCGGAAATCAGATCAGATGCATAAGGTCAGGAATCAAATTACTTGTTATAAAATTACATTTCGATTCTTCTTCTCGATTTCTGTATGCACATTTATTGTGATTTCAAAAGATTAAACTGCAAGAAGACGAAATAGAACTCACTTCTGCACTCGCGTGCTGTTTTCCACGCTGAGCACACACACACACACGCAAAGCGCACGCACAAAAGCCACCTCTTATAAAGCCTACACAAACACTGGACTGAGCTCTCTTTCTCGCATTCTTACACATTAGAATGGACAAATACACAGAATTATATCAAAATATCCCATAAATACAATCGGTTATGTCTTAAGTGAACACAAAGTGTTGAGAAAGAAAACAAGAGTGTATGGATCTGTGCATTGACAGCAGCCACTGCCGCCAGTCATTATAATGTTAATCAAAGAACAAAATAAACGAAAATCCCTCACTGATCTTGACTGAATCACTTTTGTAACCTCAGTTTATATTTTATTTGCCTGTTGTTCGGCGCTGACTACTGTGATGGCAACGTGCATCTGTGTATGCGATTATTTTGGAGATGCATTCCAATATAATTTATCCTTATTTAGGGTATATGCCTTTTCTATTTTGATCTGCAGTTTAATAAAAGTTAAACAGAAAAAAGACAAAAAGTAGCACTGCATGCGTTTCTGAATATTTATTTAAACAGACTGTATAACGATGAAAAATCACAAGCATGACCGGTATAATTAAAAGACAAATTCCTTCAACGCACATTTCCGTGTAATATTTTTACAGATTTTTTAAATCGTGTATACAATATAATTATGTTTAATTAAGCTGAGATATAGCATTATACTTTCTTCATCTGTTTGCAACAAAACTTTATAGTTTTGTTGCAAATGAATTAAGACTTTTTTAGGCTTTGAAGCTCGCCCTCGCACGCGTTCGGAGTTTTGGCAGTCCAACACTGAATATTATATTGTGGGCGTTGTATTTTGATTAATAAAATAAAAATGATAAAAATTACAATACAAAAATGAAATTTAAATTACACTGCTTCTAAATAAATAAAGCAGTTATTTTTATTTAGTTAAAAACGGGCCAAAAGAGACCTCTGTAGTATAGGCTACCAGAAAGGGGGGAAAAAAACCTTAACGTTTTTGCTCAAAATTCGTTTTTAATCCCAGCATGATTTTAGTCATAGGCCAACATGATAAATATCAAATACGTTATAGCTTGACTACAGGTTTAAAAAAAACACGACAATTGTTATAATTAAGGAAATTAAACTTACCATCATCAAATATGACTACACAGGCGATAATGCCAAAAAGAAAGAGAAACATTGGAAAATAG